GTGGTAATAGGTGCACTTGGAATTATAAAAAATGGAACAAAACAACACATTGAAAGAATCCCTGAAACCCCAGCAAGAGACATACAGAAAATTGTCTTATTAAGTACAGCACACACACTAAGAGAACTTTGTCTATGTAACGCTAACAACTTCATCGGAGATAAAAAAAAAAAAAAAATTAACATGAAATGTGGCCATAACAACACACCACGACCTGCCTTAGGTCTTTCCCGCAGACTTGGTAGGTAGTGTGTCCATAGCAGAAATCGAATGATGATGATGATGACAATAATAATAATAATAATAATATAAAATAAAAATAGAAACTAGAATGAAACAGAAAGAAAAAATAAAGAACGAAAGAAACAAACAAACAAAAATAACGGAAGAAAGATGAAAAATCGGAGATAAATCAATAGAAAGAAAGAAAGAAAGAAAGAAAGAAAGAAAGAAAGAAAGAAAAAAAGAAAAAGATGAAAAGTCTGAGATAAGTCAATAGATAGGAACAAAGAAAGAAAGAAAAAGTAAGATGAAAAATCTGAGATAAAGAAATAGATAGAAACAAAGAAAAAAGAAAGGAAGAAAAAAAGAACGAAAGGTGACAATTCAGCATAATAGAAAATCAAAATAGAAATTTGAATGAAAGAGAAAAAAAGATATAAGGAAAGAAAGAAATAAAGATTGAATGGAAGATGACAATGTAGCATAGTAATAAAAAAATGAAAAAAAAGAAACTCGAATGAAAGAGAAAGAAAGAAAGAAAGAAAGAAAGAAAGAAAGAACGAAATTCTTATTCTTTCTCTACCTTATATATATACTTCATGGTTTGGGCAAAACTCGTTCCGAAATTTCTAAACTGTCAGCTACATCGAACCCGCCTAGATCAATGCTTCAAAATTGCCTCAAGCGAACGTTGTAACGTGATCTTTTTTGAAACCAAATAGAATAAGTCTACATAATCACACAGAAACAACTGTACCAAATAACAGAATCCAGAGGTCTTTTAACAACAGCGACAAGTAAAAAGGATTGCACATTTAACTCAAAGAGAAACAAATGACAGAAGATGTTGACCTTCCACACTACTTAAAACAAAAGTTTAGGAAGGAAACTCCTGTCAATACTGGAAAGAGCAATAACTGTTACCGGATTAGAGAATTCTATTTTTGTGATAAAAATATTTTCAGAGAATGATCAACAGAAAGTAGCACTGGCTGCTCGGTCAATTTATGCCGAAAATTTCCTTAGAAGGAAACGGCTAATATTACTATTACCATTAAATATTTGGAGAATATATACCATATTTAGTATTTATACAGCCCCTCCTCCCTCATTAACGGCATACGGCACAAGGTCAGATTAAAGTGGGGATCACAAATGAGTGCACATGGACTAAGACTCACAATTGCCTAGTCCCCGCAGCCAATATCCTTGACTATTGGGTGTGATGGGGTCGGAATACCAGTGGCTAGGTATCTCTCATTTATTTTTTTGTGTTCTATGGGCAGACCGAAACACGACGGAGAGATAAAATGTAGTTTGTCAGCTCTAAGACAGATACTACACTTTGATCCCTGGAGTGGAGAAAAACGTAAGCTCGTGTAGAACTGGCAGCTCAATCTATGAGAAGGAGAGAGAGAATATCAGCACTGACATTACCACTAAAACAGTCGATAGTTTCAACAAGCACCCGGTTCACACTTCTCCCTGATCTTTCGAATAGGAGTAGAGGTTTACGTCTTGTTTTCTATTTAGGACTGGGTTTCCGGTTTCTTTTAAACTCGGCTTCAACGTTTTACTTCTAACGTTTCCACCTGAACTCTTGAAATTTTATTTACTAATTATATTTTTCTCTCAATAGGAGGACATTCGCCTATTATCCAGTTCATACTCCTCCCCTGTCTTTTCATCAGGAGTAGATATATATATATATCCCTTGTTCCTTCTTTTTCTAATGATTTTCATTCTCTTTCACTGAAGAGGACCCTTGTGTCTTAGGGGCATTATCGCCTTACTTGGGTTGAACTGATTAAAAAATAACATAAAGTAACCAACCTTGATGAATGGCAGGCCTGGAATTTGATTTCTCAGCAAAAATGCAAATATTGACAAGAGCTACAAAAGATAGGAAGTTGTAGAGAGCCTTGATCGTTTACGTCTTGTAGATAGAAGAAAACCGTTTAAAATTTCAAAGTGGGATAAGCATGAAAATATGTGAGTACTATCGCACAAATATATTGATAAATTACGTAAAGATTCCTTGTCCAGAAATATTACTCAATCGGAGCGAATAATCGGCCAGTTACAATGGACACATTAATTAATGTTGTTTATAACATTTTATTATGAAAATGTTTAATCAGCTTTTAAGTAAGAATGATGTCAGCCATTAAGAAATTGCTAATATATATATATATATATATATATATATATATATATATATATATATATATATATATATATATATATATATATATATATTTATTTATTTGTGTGTGTG